AAATTGCACATAAACCTGTTTAAGTGATCAGAACCTGTTTTTAACCTGTAACAGAACATACGTTCAGTGCACATAAACCAGTTTCAAAATGGCCAACACCGGTTTGAGATAAACCTTGTTGAATGCAGTATCAGACTTAACTGATTGAGCTCAAACCGATATATGGAACTTCTGTCCCAGGCCCCTTCCTGGTTTAAGTTAAACCAGAGTCCTCCAGCATCCCAGCATGCTCTGCAGCCCTGAGCAGGACTGTGCTCTCTGCTCCAGCAGAGCAGGGCTGGCCCCACCCCTCTGCTACCTAGCAGGGACAGGTCAGGGCCAGATGCCAACCCCCCTAAGGTGAAGGGGGCAGGGAAGAGGTTTATTCCCCCTCCCTCTGCTGTCCCACCATCATGGACCCCAGCCGTGGTCTGACAGGCAGGAGTACAACAACCCCTGCCAGGCATTTCTCCACTTGCTCCTCCAGGGGCAGGGGCATGGCCAGCCCTAGCAGTAGACTCATTGGCCAAGGAGGGGGTTTAATTTCCCTCTCCCTGTCCCACTGACACAGACCCAAGCCGGGGTCTGCCTGGTGCTCCCCCCTCGCTGCTGCAGGGCCACGGGCATGGTGAGACGCAGGCTGGCATGGCCCCTAAAGGCAAAGCAGGCAGGGAGCAATCAGCAGAGGCAGCGGTTGGAGCTGGCAGACCTTGGATGCAGTCCCCTGGGGGCAGAGGAGGTGGAGGGGGAAATAAACCCCTCCCTACCCCCTTTATCTCAGAGGACCATGCCAGCCAGTGCCTGACCATGCCAGCCAGTGCCTGACACCTGCTGCTGCAGCAGTAAGGGGAGAGCAGTAGGCAGACCTAGTGGGACAGGGAGTGGGGAATGAAACCCCCTCCCTGGCCAGTTCACTTGAGGCTACTGCTGGGGCTGACTGTGCCCCTGCCCTTCCCAACACAGCTTCCTTGCAGCTGAGGGCCTGCTCTAGCACCCTCCAGCTGCTGGCCTGAGCCACTGCAGACATGTGCCTGCATTTCCTGAGTTAAAAATGAATGTCTGTTCACTTGCATATTGGTTCCATCTGGGCAGGTTAGACTAAACTTCAGAGATTGAATCCATTCAGCCTCTAGCTTTTTTAAT